CCCTCATAACTATCCCTAAGATACATCTCACAAGGATCCATAATCTAAGCATGTCTAGCCGTTCTATTTCTCTTATGGCTCCTAGAAGAGGATACTCATGGTCTCATAGCAGGTTCATCAGAAGCATTTTATTGTCTCGTGGCTTTTAAGGCAACTCTCATCTTAAATGGCATTTTGTACTAAGACGAAGCAATACCATGTTCAAGTTTCAAAATTTCCAAAATTTTGAAGGTAGGCTTATTAAGAATTTAAGAGTTCATGCAGCCTCTTGCTAATAATTTATGCTGTAGTTAAAAACCATGAACAAGACTATATACTAATCTCGACACTATGGTAATAGACTTAAAATGATATAGGAAACTCTAACCTAGGTGCTCTGATACCAGTTTTGCCATGAACCAAACTCGAGGGTTTGTGACCGACGCACGAGCCTAGCAAGCAAGCCTACAAACTTAAGCAAGCCTCATAACTTCAATTCACATAACACACAACTAATGGATTTTATAGCTAAATATTCATAAATAGTATTTAAATTCGAATATAAAACATTTTTCATGAAAAATAATTTGTACATAAGTATTCATAAGGACATGTATAGGTTGTCAAGCAAGTTCGTACTTAGCAACCCTTAATACAAATTCAATTGGCACATCGTGCTTCGATACACATCAAGCTAAACCAAAGGCAAAGTGAAAGCTCATGACAGACTTAGCAGAGTAACTAAAACGAGGACCTACCAAAAGCTAAAATTTGATCTGTCACTAGACAACCCTTGCCACGTAGTTCTGTGGCCTATTTATCTACATATGATATAAAAGTAGGTGAGTCATCTAATACTCAATGAATGGTGTTGATAAAAAACACACATAATATTTGACAAACATATATATACATGCATACATATTTATGCATATATATATATATATATGCAATGCACTATTAATGCAACCAAATATTTTATAACACATCTCAGAGGTTAAGTAAATCATCATCTCTAGTGACTATCCACAAATAATATATATCATTATGCTCATCCTTTAGCCATTTCAGATCATTCTCCATAGGTAGACTCTAGTTGCTGGAGTATCATATCAAATCAAAGTTATCTTTGCCTCTCTAAGGCTATATCATATCATTCATAACTCAAATTAGATCTTAGAGTGATCTTTCTTTGGACATCGTCAAATCATGCATGATGGCCAACAGACGGAATCAAATCATGCTTAAGGCAAAGCCACTAGAGGAGAAACAAATCACTCACATGCTGAAGCAATGGACACAGAATCAGAATCATCATCCGAGTAATCTCCCAACAGACAGCATCACCTGGTGTATTCTCAAATAAATAGCATCAAAAGATTGTGGGCAAGAATCATAAGCAGGACTAATACCGTTGTCCTTGCTTACCACCATCCCTATTGGCACAGAGCAAAATCACAGGAGGAAAAGACTCCACTTAACCTCAAATCCAATCAACACTTGGAATTTATCCATTGGATGGAATAAATAGTCACAAATAAAGCCATCACACCTTTGGCATTCCATACACACAATTTTATTGAACTCATCACAACATCATCATAAACACATCACATGAACTTCACATCATCCCATCACCATCATAGTCATCCTCCATGGACATAAGCACAATAGATTGGAGCCCAACGTCTACACAGTATTGCCACATACTACATGTTATGACAATGGACAATGGCCCTTTGTCTGCACCCCATATGCCGTCTCGATGGACTAAGGCCCTTCGTCTACACCTTTTATGTCATCTCAATCATAGTGCCTCGATGGTCTAAGGCCCTCCGTTTACACCCTATATGCCATCCCACGATAGCAACATAATGGTCTAAGACCCTCCATCTATGCTCTATATGCCATTGTATCATAAATAACATGATGAATTAGGACCGTCTACACCCCTTATGCCATCATTTCCACACGTCCTCAACATAACCATGTTCACACCTAATCATAACGCACTTGATATTTTTCCCTTGGAAATGTCAAGCAATTCATAAACTGAATGCTTGTCATTGGAAAAGAACAACATAGCATTTTTCCACATAAATGGCTCAACAAAATTGCCTCCATGTTTTGAGTGTAAAAATCTCACAATATATATATATATATATGTAAAAAGAATAGTTCATTGTGACTAGTGAAGTACAATTTATAACATAATAAAAAAAGATTGTAAACTATGTTGACGTGACAATTGTTAGACATATGCCCTTAAAAATCAATTTTATTTTTTACATATTAGATAAATTATTGCATCAAATATTGATTTCATATAACATATACGAATATAATAATAATTATTTGGTAACATGGTAAAAAAACTATACTTAAGCGAGGAGTTATAGTTCTTTAGTTTCTTATTTGTCAAAATTGTTCTAGGTTAAATATGACAAACTATTTAAAGTCAACATTTGTTATGTCTCTATAAAAAGATAAAACTTTTTAATTCTACCATTGAGATAGTGAACTTCAAGCAAACAAGTGGTGTAACTTATAAAATACATACATTGAATAGTATCAAATTCAAGAACACTAGATAAAGCTTGTCACTATCAATAATAAAAAGAGCTCCGAGGTCGGCTTTAGCTTAAAGCCACCAAAGCCCTTACTTTAGGCCACACATCTTTATAGACTTCATAATTTTATAATAATATAATTAATTATATTAAAAATATATAAAAATTAGATAATTAATAAAATATTTTTTAAATTAGGTACCTAATAAATATCTATTTTCTCTCAATTCTCACATTCTATTAATTCTCATCTATTATTCTCACTTCCCTAATTATGTAAAAGTCAAGATAATTAATAAAATATATATTCCCTAATTATGTGCCTAATAAATCTTTATTTTTTTGTCACTTTTCAATTCCCCCAATGCTATTAATTCTTAATTGTTTCTCTTATTTCCAATCAAAGTAAACGGTAAAATTTTATTCTTTAATTTCAATAAAGAATGCATCATTTGAATATTTAACCGTTTTAGGCCTTTAAGGTTATTGAGCTGTCCCTAATGAGCTCCATTACAATTTATTAATTGTCCTTATATTTAGTATCTTTATGACTTTAATGTTGCCAACAAGTGATGTTGAATTTGAAAACTATACCCTGACACATTTGGTTATGTTAATGCTAAATAAATTATATTGGATGCTTAATAAAGGATTTACCATTCTATATTGAGAAAGATATTCAAGTGATTTTCATAAGATTGTTGGATTTAAGAAATCAAATCGGTGTGTTTTTTAAAAAGTGTTTTAGAATTATATTATTTATATTAATATTATATGAAAATGCTTTTGAAGCAAAATATTTTTCAAAGTTTAAGAAGAATGAAAATCATAAATTAGTATTACGTGAGTTGGATGTGACAGTGAAAATTATCTATCCATAAGCCTATAAGGAATATAGTATAGTGAAAGCCAAAGGACAAGTTAGATGGCAATGCATACCCATTTATAAGGTACTCGTAGATATCTGATCTGATTATATAGGATTAGGGAACCCTATAACCAGGTTTGGAACAGATTAGTGTAGTGATTTCACTACCTCTATCGGGTTCAGTTACCACCCCTTAGGTACCTGTTTCTCGAATCTAATTACTATTTATAAATATTTTATAAATATTTTAATAATTCAATTAAAAATTTACAATTTTTACCAGCTTTACAAGTAATTCTTTTTGTTAAAAACTAAAAAATATATGAAAAGTATGATTACACTAATTATTAATATGATGAAATTAATATATTTAAATTAAAAAATTATTAGATTGTTAATTATGTTAAATAATATGAATATTACATCATATTATAAAATAATATAATTACTATTATATATATGTATATATACTTTTAATATAGATACATTTACTTTATATTTTGTGTTAACATTACAAAAATTATGACTTATAAAATTATTAATTATAATATATATACCATTGTTTATATAATCTTATAATATATACTTAAAAGAAAGCTTCTGAGATTAGAATAGTTTTGGAACCTAAGTGTTTTTTTTTTAATTTCATGAAATTAAGAACAAATCTATATAATTAATTAAATTAATTCATGAAACTATTATTATTAACTAACTTGTAATATCTTTTAATATATATAGCTTATATATTGTACTAATTTATAAAAAATATAATTACTACTAAATATATAATAAAATATTTTCAATATATATATACTTTAAAAATAAACACATTTACTTTCTATTTTACGTTAACATTACTAAATTATAACTTATAAAATTGTTAATTATAATATACATATAATTTTATTTATATAAACTTATATAAATCTCAAGATAAATTGTGAGATTAAAATAGTTCCAAAACCTAGTAATTTTTTTTAATTTTATATAATTAAAGACAAACCCATATAGTTAATTAAATTTGACATATGTACATTTTGACTTTTGGCCACTAAATCAATGACGTGAAACTCTCAATAGCAAAGTTTAATTTTATTTTCATTATATTTTGTCTTAAACTTTAATATGTTTTTTTTTATTAATTTTATTAACCTACAAAAGACACCTTCGAAAATTTTCACCAATCATCTTTTCTTCCCATTCAGTAGACTGCCACAACGGTTTTTATTTTTGCCAATTTCAAGCCCCTTCAAATGAGGGCTTAAGCAACTCTTTCTTTTTTAAAATTGTTTTAACTCAATTGGATTGGTATTTTTTTTTCATATATTTTTATAAAAATAATCAAAAAATAAACAGAAGATAAACATTAATATAAAATAAAAAGCAATTAATAAATATAAAAATATATGAAAATATCCATCAAACAAAACCTTAGACAATATTAATCTAATTAAAATGTGATAAAAATGGGGTCCCTGGGCAATATATGCATTATGACACGTGGCAACAAAATCCCAGGTCACAATTTTTTATTAATTATCACATTAGCAAGATTAAATATTTTTAATATTTTACACCATGAATTTATAAATAAAAATGTAGATATCAGTGCCATCTCATTGTCACATTATCATCAATAAATAACAGTTTCCTTTGAAAGTGCTATCAATTAACCTTAGCTGATCACAAATGCCAAAGTAGAAGACTAAATTAGTCAAAATTGGGATAGAATAAAATACACTTTGCTCTAATACCGGAATTTGAACTTTAACCAAGCAGTGCTAAAAGTCCACTATAGTAGCCTAATTGTCTTCAAGCCAGGTTTCCCTAGAACAGAACATAAACTGCAGATCAGCATCATCTCTTCTAAATCCCTCTTCCAAGACAGACGGACAGAGAGAGAGAGAGGTATCATTACCAAGGATATAATGAAACTATCGAGAATACTTTTGCCAATTCATCATGCTAAACAGGCTGAATAACACCATCAATCCTCGTATTAACACTAAATTTTGGCTAAAGATCTTTATCTTTCAATTTTTGAAAAAAAAAAAAAAAACCCTTCTAACAAGAATATCATTAGGTCCTTTCCAGCAAATGAGAAAAGTGAGACAAAGAACTTCGAGCATGTGGCACACTTACAATGTTAAATTTCACCTGATATCTTCAAGGGCAGCAATTTCCATCAAAACCCTATGCTTGAGACCAGCAGCACCTGCACCACCCAATTCAAAACCACTATTATGCAACCACACCTTGCCAAAGACCTAAAAATATATATCAGTCACCATAAAAGTATCTGAAAGACCTAAAAATGACCTTCATTTCACCACAAACTCCAAACCCATATCCTTAAAATGCACCAACAAGCAAAATCAGCCATCACTTTCATCGGAAACAGCTCAAAGAAAATCCCATGAAGCAAAACTCAACCACAACCAAACTTGTGTTTGCATGAAATAAAGCCATAAAGCTGATACAAAGAGATAGGGAGAGATTTCAAGGAAAAAAGACGCTGGAAATAAAAGAATAAAAAGGAAAATAGAATGACTACTGTAATAGTGCACTCATTCGAGTAAAATGGGAGAGTTAGGAGACATTGTAAGATTACAGGTGTGCAATGAGACAAAATTCAAGAAAAAAACTAAGGATAAAAAGAAAAACTGAGAATAAGATGTTTACATGATGCTGCACTGAAACATGAAATTTTGCAAGCAATACAATCCAGCACCCCAGAAGGAAGCTAATAATATGTACTTGAACAACACAGTTATTAAACTTAAGGGTGTTAATTGACTTGTACAAAATTAAGAACCAAAATGAAGTTCAAGCAAAGTTCGATGGTTAGATGACTATTTTGCACTACTTTCTTTTAGACATTAGGTATAATACTAAGACTCAAAAGGTCTGTAAACAACATTATCCTAGATGAAGAATGTGATTGACAAAGTAATAGAGAAACTAACCCTTCAGCTAATTGTGCAAGTTACAAGCCAAAGTCTTGTTCAGCTCGCTTCAGCACAGATGTCACCCTGCTGAAAAATTCTGGTTCCTTTTCTTTGATATCATCAAGAGTCCTCAGCTCATGTTCATCAGCCTTCAAAGAAAAAGGAAATATCACATTACAAAGGAGAAGAGCAAGAAATTACTCCACAGTGAGTACATGAAAGCAAACCAAACATTAAGTATCTTGTCGGACTGTTGCTTTCATGTAATCTTGATCCACTCCCAGAAGTAACTAATACAGATTCAGGTAACAACTAAGACATAAATGTTCACTTTCCCTTCCCTAGGATCACGTTTAAGATATATATATATACACAGTGAGTACATGAAAGCAAACCAAACATTAAGTATCTTGTCGGGCTGTTGCTTTCATGTAATCTTTGATCCACTCCCAGAAGTAACTAATACAGATTCAGGTAACAACTAAGACATAAATGTTCACTTTCCCTCCTCTAGGATCACGTTTAAGATATATATACACTTTTGTTTGGAAAGGCTAACCCAACTATATAAATGGAGTTCGGAAATTGGAAAACTTCAAATCCACCAAGGGATTAGCAATGCCAAAAATGGTTACCAGCGAGAAAATTATTAATATACAGGGTTCCATATTTTGAGGTGCATCCAATAAGTTAAAATTTTAAGATTGAATGCAACAACCATTTCACTCAACTTATCCAGCCTGGGAAAGTGTATATCCCAACTGTCAATGGGAAGATGATCAAGGCAACAAAGTTACGTGTGTACTAACAAAATAAATGGGAAAACCTTAAAGTTCATAGCACATCTAGGCATGGCATCAACAAGATTGTTGACGTAGAACTTGGTAAAGCCAGCCTCGAAGAAATAAAAAGTCACCTGTTTCATTTACCCTTTCAACCCTTTCTATTCAAAACTGCACTTGGTTCAATGGAAATATCAATTCAACTGTTCATTGCAACCTTAATCTTTTTCTACCAAGCTTATAATAAGGTTAATCTTTCTTCTTTATCCCTAGTTTAAAGGAGATGTAAATGTGAACTAACAACAAACAAATACAAAAAATGAGTTTCATGGACTAATACCAGGTCAATAAAATAGATTTATTGGGATTCAAGAAAGACAGATATACCATGTTCTTGCTAAGAGAATACCTCTTTAAACTTTAAAAGAATTAAATTTGATACAGATGCTGGCTTTGCCCGGTCCCATCTGAAAAGAAATAATGGATAATGCGCATTAAAATAAATCCAATATCACCTGAAGATAAATTACATAACAAGCATGACCGCAGTTCAGAAACAATATATTACTGTATATATAATTCTACCACAGTCTATTATGATTACAAGTAAGACACATAGCAAACTTTGACAATTCAAACAAAAGATTACCAACTGTTCAATAGGCTGCACTCTGACTTGAACTTGTGGGACTGCAAGATGGCCAGAAAATGGACTGGTGACGTGACAAAAGAAATGGCTTTGGACAGAATTAATAGAAGAAAGACTCAATCCAGCTGGCTCAGTTTGCAAATAAGCTTCAGTGGTTATTCACGCACAACAGAATAGTTAAAATAGAAATCCAGTGAATTTGAACCATATGTTATCTTAAGCTTTAGCAAATAGGAGAAATTATTTGGATTTTCCGAGGCCCGTTTGGATGTACGATTCCTAGACAATGTAGATGTCCATTCATGCATGTTTTGACAGAGATGCTGCTGGCAGCACCATCTAAGGGTTTGGTATGATCTGTTTCTTATTCACAAAGACGCTTTATTTTTTTTGAAAAGTGGAATTTATTGGCCATTAACCGATAAACCATTGATAGTCTCGAACTGGAGCTGCCAGAGACTCTCATTGGTATGAAAGAAAAACAAAGACGCTTTATTGAGGAATATTTTTGCTAGCAGCACCCATCTAAAGGTTTACAAGAGGCTAAAGGAAGAAGGTTACAAGAAGTAAGCTTTAAATTGGCCTTTTATATGCACAATTTTAATTAGTTTTCAAACTCTATATAGTCAAATTCTTTTACTTTCACCCTAGGGAGTGTAATTCCTATTGAAATAAACTGTCATTAGTGGTCTACATACATAATCTAGACACCCAATCAATTTAGAACAGAGTGCTCTTCAGAACTTCTGTTTGCAATTGAGGTGTGATTGGTAAGTTGTTCCTAAGAATATGACAAAAGAATCACTAAATGTGATTGCCTCGATTTCTACATCCTTTAGTTGCTCCATTGTTCTTGTTTTCTGTTTTGAAAATAAAATTGCAGCCCAAATATCTGACTTTTCAATTCCAGCACTTGAATTGCCTGAAATTCAATTTCTCATGTTAATCTTCAGTTGATTTTTAACCCAATTCAGTACTTAAACCTTGAACCTTTGATTCTATCGTAAGGTTAGTGCGGAACCTGAGATCTGGTATCACTTGTGGAGCTGAAAGTTTTCAAAACTGTAATCAGTTCTCAATTTTAATTTTCACTTCTTAGCACAAATAAGTTCAAGAATCACTTTTTCTGAGCAAAAATGGTAAATGGCTCCTAACTCACGAAATGTTTTACTTTTCAGAAAAAAACTTGCAAGTTGAGAAATACACAAAATATATTACCCAAACAATCTTCTTAAAATTCAAAGAGTTATGATAACTTCCAGATGCAGTTAGTATGTTCTATGGCTGGAGGATCTTTAGATTCATTATTATTCTTTAGCTACTCAAAAGAGTTGGGAAGCTTTAGAATATGAGGGATGATTTACGGTTTAAAATTCAATTAAAAAAACCAAGAATATCAGTTTGGTAAGTAACCACTATACTAAGGCAGTCGCTTTATACAATTAGAATAAGTGGTGCAGGCTTTCCATGATCACTTTTGGACTATGAACCCAAACAAGGGAAATAAAAGATGTTCGACTATTTGAGAAGAAACTTTGCAGGAAACTAATTAAAACATGTCAGCAAATAATAATTTATTACTATTAAATGATGATCCTGAGATGAAGTGGCACAGGTAGGATAGATAGAGAAGCAGGGTGAGATGGTGAAAAACAAAGAAATGGAGAGATATAGCAAGAAAAAAGAGGACAAAATAGAGAATCAAAGGAAGAAGAGAAGAACAGATTAAGGAATAGTGAAGACCAAAAGGGATACCAGCAATATCTTCATAATTTAATACTAGGGATAGAAACAACATAGGTATTTATAATCTACTCCTTAACTCTAAATATTTGGTAAATAAGTAAAAACCAAATGAATTTCGTTTCACACTATTCTCCCCTAGTCAAAGAAAACTCAACCTCAAGTTGTGAAGTGTAGCAGTAGTAGAAATAACTGCTAAAACCCTTGAACAGCAATTGCAAGAATACACTCATCCTCAAGCATGAGCGGAACAAAAAAGTCAACAGAAACTTTGTTACCAGAATTTCTCATTTTCTGATATAGCCATGGACTTGAGCCTAGATTAAGGTTAAATGACATCAATGCAAGAATTTTCATTTGGTAGCACTCCACTAGACTCCCTTGGTTGACAGCGATGGACTTAGCCTCTAATGTTTTTTCAGCCAGCTTTTATACCTCGGCCTTTTCAGACTTCTATCTCCTGCTTCTCAACTTTTGATTCATTTACATCACTTTCCCCTCCTTGCTAGGGGATGTTAACAACTACTCAAATGCTTTTAAAAGTCTCTTGATCCTGGTGCACAATAATCCAACACATCCTTTTCACAACATCATTTTCAACTTGTCTCTTTTTTGAAGAATCCTTGATGAATCAGATCTAGACAATGAGGCCAAACTCTTTTACAATTGTTACTCAAATGTACACTGCCCTTTCCATTTTCCAAGCAATTTCTCTTTATAGCATATATGTATCTTAAAATCATGATATTCATAGACTTGAGGGAGGAAAACTCTAAGGATCATATTTATATGTTAAGGAAATCAACTCATCCAAGTGAATAGAAGCTTCTTAAATATTCTCATTAGGTTTCACTTTCTACAAGCATATGATGCCCATGCTAAAACTTCAAAATAGATGTTTTACCATACAAAATTCGAAAAATAGGACTTTTAAAGGCTGAATCAAACAAATTGGATGTCAAACAAGGAATAAAAGATCAAGATTAGGGGGAGAGGGATTATTGCCTACAATGTGGCATATGATAATGCGACACTAGCATGGCATTGACACACGATTTGATTGGCTGCCGAAGTAGACAATGATGCGATATGCCTTTTGTGGTGCTTGTTTTCTTCTACTTTTCCAGCTAAGCCAAAGCCATATGGCAATAAGAAATCAAGTGGTGGGCTGGTCCTCAGATCAAACCAATAGAAACTAGAATGTGGTTCCTTTCATTTCTTTATACATATATATATATACCAAATCGCATCAGGAATCGACTCCGGAGAAAGAGTAATGTTTAAGAGTGATGTTCAATTTTGAAAATATAATTTTATTTGAAAGTAGAATTTTGAAGATACAATTTGAATTTTGGATACAAGAGATTTTCCAGGAGTTATATTCTCTCGAAATTAAATTTTATCAAAAAAAAATCTTTATCTCTTCTAAATTCTTGAAGGGTCTTATATAGACAATCCTTTCTTCTTTGAAAATCCTGAATTTCAGCTTCATTTGAATTTCATTTTGATTTGTTGGTGCAGCTGACACTGTTTTGGTGCGACTTTTAATACTGTCCGACAGTTTTTATTGCTTTTCTTCTTTTGGCAGAATTGCTTTTGGCTGCTACAGTTTTCTTCTTTTCTTCTTTTGACAGTATTGCTTTCGGCTGTTACTGCTTTTCAGACGC